ATAATTAAATTAATTAATTTCATTATTTTAAATTACAATATATAATAAAAATTATTATTTTTATGTTATGATAATAATTTATGTATTATATGATATTATTAAAAAAGAAAATATTTTATATTAAAAGATATAAATTAATATATATAAATATAAAATAATAGAATAAAATTTTTTATAATATTTTTAGATATTGATGAGTGTTTAATATTATCTAAACCATGTCCTGGAATCAAAAATGTTTGCGTTAACACACAAGGTAGTTTTAGTTGTTTAGAGATAAAAGGAATAAAATCATGTCCTGCTGGATTTAAATTCAATAACTTTTCGCAGCAATGTGAAGGTATTTGTTATTTAAAATACAAATTTAGAATTTCTCTATAATGAAAAAGAAATATTAATTTAAACTTTGATTTCTTTTTTCTAGATGTCGATGAATGCGCAGAAAAAATTCATAGTTGTTTAGAAGATATGGAAAAATGTCGTAACACCGAAGGTGCTTATGAGTGTGATATAAAATGTAACGAAGGGTTTATTTACAGTGTTAATTTGGGTATCTGTATAGGTAATTACTCTCTGATATTAAATTAATTTAATTAAATTTTAATTTAATTGAATGCTTTATCTATTTAACATTACATGAAAATATATAACTATTTATTATATTAACAATAAATTTTTTCTTCGATATATCAACTCTTTTTATAGATATATGCATGTAAAAAAATTTTTTCATATCTTAACGAATTAATGAAATGGTTGGAAATAATTTAGTTCAAATGTTAATACCTGAATCTTATTCAACCAGCATGTATTTTATTTGCATGTGAGTAATAATTTTTTTTTATTATTTTTTTATAATTTTTTCATTATTTCTATATTTAAATAGTTAATAGTTCTATATTTAATAGTTTATTAAATTTTCTTTTTGAATCAATATATCTTTAATTTTTTCCATTCTTCATTTAAATCGTATTTTTGATTTTCTATGGAATTTTGGCACTTTTGTAATTTTCTTGACAGTATATTATATAATATCATTAATTATTAACTTTATTAATAAATTATAATTATAAATAATATCCTGATGGATAATAGCATTTATTTATTTAAACAAATATATATGATTATAAAATTACAACAATAGAAATTTCATCTTTTAATTTTTAATATAAATTAAGTATTTTTTTATTAAAGAAATTTTCGAATTATATATTATATTTTTTTCTATCTTATTGAAAATAATTTTAATAAATATTTATTAAATATATCATTATACTTTTTTATTCTCATTTTTAAATATAATTGAAAATATATATATAACTTGTTTGATTTTATTTACAAAAGCATATGAGAAAAAGAATTTGAGAAAAATTTATCGTTAATACATTATGTACGTATAATATAAATTTATATTCATATATATACACAATAAAAATAAAATAATATATAATATACATATATTTAAAAAAATTATTAAGGTATAAACATTCCAATTTTAAAATTAATATACAAGTTTTAAAATGTATAATATTATATATTAGATTTCTAAGAGAGAGAAAGAGAGAGATAAAAAGCAAAAAATCTAATCGAAAGAATTAAAATTAAATAAATATTCATGTGTATACATATATTATACATGTATATTATATTTGTAGACATGGATGAATGCCTTGGGTCCAATAATCCTTGTCTTGATCCGAATACCACTTGTAAAAATATACTAGGCGGTTACGAATGCTTATCTTTAAATCGTTCTATTGTTTCAATTGATGAACAAACGGAACCATCAATTTGTTCTGCGGGATATAAACCCATGAATGATTCTAATAATGCATGTATCGATGTAGATGAGTGTAAAGAACAACTGCATTCGTGTGAAATAAACGAACAATGTGTAAATGACATAGGTAGTTATAGGTATGTTCTCTAAAAGATTGTTTTTAATATTTTTAATTTATTCTTAAGATTCCAGAAATTTATATAAAATACTAAATTGAGAAAATTTTCATGAATTTTTCTAAAATTTCATATTTTAATATTTTAAACTTAAAATT